TATTTCTATCCCCGAGGCAAACACCGCCTCCAATCCAGGATTTCTGTGTAAAATCTCTATCTGAACTAGGATTGACAGAGAGCAACATGAATCTATTCAGAAATCATGCTGAGTAATCTAAACTGCTGTTATTTTTAACTTCAAAGAGGCACCCTAGGGTACCTGTCCTCAAAAAAAAAAAAACAAAAAAAAAAAACAAACCCCAAACCAAAAAAAAACCACAGAAATATTGCTTGGAAAAAAACCAATCCAAAACAAATAAAGGAAAAAAATCAAACCCACCAACACCCTACATAAATGAGAGCAAGTTGTAGAATCAGTCTGGCTGAATTTCCCCTCCATCTTTCAGTATTTAGCCTTGTCAACCACCCAAAGGAGGGGCAATGGCCTTCCCTCTTGCTGTTCACATGCAAAAAAATCATCTAGCTCTCTCATAATTCTTCATTGTATAAAATGAACTACTCTGCAGGGCTAGGTTCTTCAGCACATGTTTATTTTCCAGTCTGAGCTTTAAAAAAAAAAAAAAAAAGCCATCACATGGAGCTGTGCAATGAGCCACATCACAAAGCCAATACCCCAAGGACCAGTGAGACTTTCCTGTTCTGTGCTACAGGAAGGACAGAGAAATAAATGGGAGGTGGAGGAGAGTGAAGAGAACTCATTACACAAGAGCAAAGCAGGTGTGTGGCACTCCAATTCTGACAAATAAAGAGTACTTCTAAGCTGCAAAGAAATAAGTTTTAAAATAAACACTCAAAGGTGGGAGGGTCTGAAATAAGTAAATCAGCACTATTCTAGCCACTGAAACAAAGCCCAGACATACTGCTGAATAAATCAAGCCAGTTAAAGGAAGATTCTATTTGAATCACTTGAATATTGTTAAAAGTGACTTGGTTTTCACTTGGCCAGACCCAGCAAAGCTGAACAGCATAGGTTTACAGGGGGTCTGTAGCTTCTGTCCCTGCTATGGCTTTGCAGAGAGTTCAAATGCATCACAGAGTCTCCTGCCAAATCAGGAGGCCTATAAACACTGCTCCACCTCATCCAACTATTTTTCATGCAGAACTTACCCTTGTTTCTACTTCTGTGAGCTTCCATATGATAAAAGTGTATTTTTAGCAGACAGTTTCTGCAGGTCAGAGCTAGCTGGTGTCAGAGCCATATATAATGCACACATAAACCTCTGATGTGTCCAGTTTGGGTAATCCTAAACAGTGCCCCAGGAATCAGTCCAGAGGCAAACAGCTTTGCAGACCTGTTGTACAAGCATAGCCTTTAACAGAAAACCTGACTGGTTTTGCTGATGTGCTTGGAGGGCTTCCTACTACACAAGAGGGACCAGACTTTTCTGATATAGCCTCTGGTAATTACAATAACCTCCTTCAAGTTAAAATAACCTTCCATGAGCTGCAAAGCAAAGTCCAAATTGTCCCTTTGGCATGTAATAACAGGATCAATTCCTGACTTGAGTGCGAAAGGGGCAGCATTTTCCATGCTGACCACGCTCTATTGGCAGGGAGAGAGTCCCTTTTCTGAGCTCCATGGCCATAAGAACCCCACAGGGACTTTGCTCATGCTTTAACAGATATAACTGCAGGTTTAAGAGCGAACTACAAAACTGCTGCAAGCTGCTGAACCTATGCAGGGAAGCCAGGAAGCCACATTACAGCAATTTATCCTTCAGAGCAAAGCAGCAAAAATAAGAAAGCACTTTCTTCTGCTCAACAGCTGGTTTTTCGCACAAGGAGACATCGTTTCCATATCTTGCTTGCCCATAGCATATTTAAGTCATCTCATTTCTATTCATCCCTCAGTACTTCATACAAAGGAAGAGAGGGATTTTTCTTACCTTCTACGTGCATGGGAGAAACAAAGGCCAGCCAGGCTGCAAGGATGATGCCCACCACCCAAACCTGTACCAAGAAATTACCCAGACAGACGAAGCTTTTTACAGGACACCCTTGACTCAAATGCTGCTCTCCCTTCCCATAAAATCCATTACTCACAAGAGTAATGCTGGTGCACACTGCTTAGCAGGGGATCAAACTCTGATCTTATGGGACTTAAACAGCTGCAGTGCTTCATTTGAGATGATAGGCAGGAAGCAGGTCTACCTCCAAGCCCAGTCTGTTTCCAAACTGGAGGGTCAATCTCCTTCCTATGGAACGCTGCTTTCATTTCCCAAGTTATTTCACATTTTCCCCTTAGGTTCAGCAAAAGTGAGGTGAACAACAGGCAAAGCAAGGGTAACTGGACCTCCCTGGAGCATGCAGTGTCTTAAAGCTTTGATATACAAAAATTAACATGGCACACAGCTACAAAAAATGTTGACTATGACACCTACAAAAGATCTGCCAAAATCAAGGTTCATTTGGCTTGCCTAGATCTCTTATCCAAAATGTTTTGTTGGGGTTTTCTGTAGAGTTTTGTTTGCTTGTTTGAAATATGGAAATCTTTTTTTTTGAAAACCTGCCAGCTTGAGCCTTTGTGACACACAGATAACTTCTCCCAAGCACTCCCATACAATGACAAAGACTAAACACTTGCCTTCTTTAACAGCAGCTGTGTTCCTGGTATCATCTCCTACTTCTACCAGATGTGGTTCTAGAAAAAATACTAAGTTCCATTAAGATTCTTAATAAAAATCAAGTGGAGAAGCAGCAATACTGGAAGACACAAAGGCTGCTTCAAAAGTACTTTCATATACCAATGTATCTTCAGTTGGACCTATACTACCACTGAAATTGCTACCAAATACTTGGAAATTGATTAGTCTCTATAGGACACTGCTCTTAGCAATAATAAAACACAATGCATCAAAAAGCTTACTTCAGCACATGGTTTGTATCTACACTTTGTGGTGTGGCAAAGCATGACACATCATGACAATTCTGCTCCTTTCCTTGATGGGGAACTGTGAGGGCAGATGCACGGACCTGGAAAATTTTCCCTAGGAGGACATCCTCAGATAACAAATTTATATGAGAATGCCTTAAAAAACAGGAAAATGCCTATCTCTGATCTCAGTTAAAGCTCCCTCCTTGTCCAAATTCGAATCCTGAAGCGAGAGTTAATTAAAATATTTATATTAGGTAGATTTTTAAAAAAAAAATTCAGCCAAGAGTGTATAACTGCAGCACAGCTGATTGCAGAGCAGATATAGCAGTCAGAGGAGCAAGTCTGGGAAGTCTTTTTTTAGTGCTTGTAAAATACTGCAAATATATTACAGAAAAAAAGAGACAAGTGGACTAACCTAATAAATTTTCATGACATCCCATGAAAACAAAGAAGATTAAGAAGGGATTTCTAGAAATTTGAAAACCAACTGCCTAATTCACTTTTAAATAAAAAGCAGAAATTAATCAAGGAAAAAAAATTCTCCCTATTGAGTCAGTAACTTTGAATTTGGCATTCATGAGCGTACTTCCAGGTGGTCGTTGGAAACTGAGCTTGTAAATACGGAAAGGTTCCCATAAATAATGAAAAGATGCAACTGAGGCTTATGCATAGGATAGTTAGGTTTTCATGTACTCATCTACACATACTCAGAAGTATTCTGAACACCTCAGGTTTAGCTATTTGTCTACTGATATTCCTGTAAGGGCATTGGGATATACAGCTACTGTTCTTTATACCACAGGAAAAATACCAAGAGATGTTCAAAAAGGAAAAAAACATCATACATTAAGAAGTGGACACTGGGATCTTTACGGTGTGCCATGGCACTAAAATACTACTCTCTGCCAGCATATCTGCCACGGGTTATTCTGATGCCCACACAAGCAAGGGCAGCAAACTTTGTTCTCAGCTTTAAATTAATAGACAAAAAGCTATAGACTAACTGCAACAGGATTAGATCTTGAATTGATTTGAAAATAAAATCAGCTCCCCGTGTAGCTTTCACATTCCTGCTGTAATCTGCATCTGTAAACATGCATCTTGTCTGAGTGAGGTTGCCACTTCTACAATCTTTAATTCACACAGAATATCAGGAAAAACAATATATGCAGATTTGGCTGAATTTTACATAAACACTCCCAGCGTTTTTATGACAATCTACTTGGAGTCCAAGACAATTCTGTAGCCTGTTTCAGCTGGTGACTAAAACACTGGAATAACACATTCCTTAGAGTTGTTCTTTTGGAGGGCTCAGTTGTGCAGCATTTCTGACTTAGGATGCTTTCTCACCTCACACAGTGCTCATGGCTTTCAGGAACTGGCAGGACTACCCAGTATGGTGCAGAAGTCAACCTTTCAAGACTACCAAAGCTGTGTTACAGTACAGCATCAAGGATGCCCCAAACCAGAGCAAAACTCACAGCAAAGACTACTCACATGATGCAGTCAGGTCAAGCAGACACACTGCAGATATTTATGCATCTAAACTCCAACACGTATTTAAGGTATCAAATTATCAGGCTGGGTTTCTCTCAGTTATAAAATCACAGAATGAGTAAGGTTGAAAGGGACCACAGTGGATCACCTGGTCCAACATCCCTGCTCAAGCAAGGTCATCCTAGAGCACATGGCACAGAATTGCATCCAGATAGTTCTTGAATATCTCCATGGAAGGTGACTCCACAACTTCTCTGGGCAATCTGTTCCAGTGCATGGTCATTCACACAGTAAAGAAGTTCTTCCTCATATCCAGATGGAACTTTCTGTGCATCAGTTTCTGCCCATTGCCTCTTGTTCTATCACTTGGCATCACCTAGAAGAGCCTGGCTCCATCCTCATGTCCATCACCCTCCGTTCAGATACTTATAGACATGGATGAGGTCCCCCCTCAGCCATCTCTTCTTGAGGCTGAACACTTCTTAGTATAGGTAATGGCAAGGGACAGAGGTTCTTCAAGGTGCTTGAAACTCAACTCCTGTTCCAGTGTTATCAGCTCCCAGAGCTTTCTCATGAGTCTGAGATGTATTTGTGAACAGCCCCGTTCATTTAACAGAGCAGTGTTCCAGACCCTGTGTTTCAGATGGAAACTTCCAGAAAATTGTGTTCCACATTTACCCCAAAGGCTCAGAAGAAGAAGCAAGAATTTATAATTAAAAAGAAATTTAAATAACCTCATGGATTTTCTTGGGGAGGGGAGGAGTGAGGTTGTTGACTCATGATCATTTTTTTAATACTTGTGGCTGGCTCCGCTACATAAATAAATCAATCCCCTAGCCACACAGCTCCATTTTTCCAGTCACAGCTTGTTGTTTTATTTATTTTTTTCCCTCCATTGCCGACAGATCACTCCAGGGAGTTTCTAAACCCAGTGGTCTACTTTCCGAATGGAAACTATTAGTATAATTTGTGAGAGAGAAAGCAAACAACAACACAGACTTACCCCATTTTTTGGGTAGGCTATCCATCCTAGATCCCCCATTACTGTACGTGAGTCCAGTAAATTCACTGAAAATAAGAGAAAAAAAAACTGTTAAGGAAGATGGAAGGATTACAAACTTCGGTAGATATTTCAATGTATGGGTGACTGTGGCTAACAAATTGTTTATAATTAACCAAGGAAACTGGATTTTTGTAAAGGAGAATAACAGTGCAATAACTCCTCTAACGATGAGGTCATACACCGAAAACAATTCTATGTATGCATTAGTTTATTCCTTTGAGATCTGACACTGAAAGCAAGTTTTAGATGCACTGAACTTCTGTAAAAACCAGATCCTTTAAATTTGTAGGATCTGATCTCCTGGAGGGAATAAATACATAATACACAAAATGTGTTTATGTGCATACATTATACATACAGTGTATAGGCATAAATATATGCGCACAAACATCTGAGCATGTTTATACATACATTTCTTCTAATGTGGCGTGTATTTTTACCATAATCAGGCCTTTAGGACAAAAACAAAACCAGAAACAATATGCAGCGTTTCCTGATTATCATGAAGTATTTTTAAAATTATTTTATATTCAAATATTATAGTATTAATCTTATCAAGAATCTGTTCTTTTCTCCCTCTTCCACATTTTTCCCTCCAGTCTTTGACATCTTCACTATAAGATATCCAAGGGATCTTTTTTCTCCCACACACAAAAATTTACAGTAGCTTTGTTGAGTCACATAAGCAATCCAAAATTTGCACTAAACAGCAAGAAAAACCTATTCCAAACATTTTCCCCCTCATATTACCTGAGATACTGAGTAAGAAGTGTGCAGTAACTAATTCTACACGTGCTTAACTCAGCTAAGAAAAACTGTAGCAGCCTATAATGCTGAGCTTCCACCTCCTGTACCCAGGGCTTAAAATCTACAAGTTAAAAGCTTGTCTTGGAATTATCAACTGTCATCCAAAACAAATTTCTTCTACCTTAAAAGCACACTTCCTCCTCATTGATTTACAACACTCTCTTCTATGAGTATATTTGTCTGCCTAATATTTCACTTTTTGTACCCAAGTCCTTCCTGAAAAGGGTGTGATTTCCCTGGGTCTTCAGCTCCTGACCTTCACCCTATATGCTCCTTAAAAGTCCCACTGGAAGTTTTGGTGATTGGACTTTCAAGACTTTCTAGCCTGTGATTACCTAGACCAAGAACAAGCTTGAAATGGGTGGAGGAGGCTTTGTGTTCACTCTTTTAGAAATGCAGCTGTCTAAGTATTTAAAGATCGCTGGAGAAGACAAACAGGCTGCATGCACAAATATGAAGTATGCAACTATCATAACCCTCAGGATTATACCACTTATAGAGTCATAGTAAGAAAACCCAGAAGTACACTATACTACAAAGCATGCTCCTTTAAAATCTTAAGGAATATTTAAAAGCAAATTAAGATTAAACAACTGATTTATTTTGAAAAAAATATTGTTCTCTAAATCAGTTTGGTCTTTATCATTGTACTGCACTGAAGGCTGACTACTGTAGTTTCTGTACACAAAATCAGGCCAAAACACAGAAATACAACACTGATGTGGAAAAAAAAAAATCAGTTCTCAGCTCTGAAAAACACTTATGTTAAAAAAGATTTGTCTATCCAGATATTTTCACAGTATATGCAAGTATTAATGCAGGACACTGTCACAGGGGATATATGTTCTGACTGGTCAACTATATTTTCCTCATGTTGAACAAAATACATTTGGTAGCTCGGTGTTTTCATTCCTAGATCGCTTTCTCCTGCCAAAAAAGAGAACAGTTTGCAAGCTGTCAGTGCTACCAAACTACAGTACGTGTGGTGGAAGCAATACTCAGAGACTACACTGAACTACATTCACAGTAAGTAAACATACAATCAGGTGGCTTTCCACTCAACAGTCTATGCAAAATAAAAGTATTGCTAACATCTACCACTAGATATGTCACCCAGTGATGACCACTCTTTCCCTTCCCGAAGTCTTCAGGTAAAACGTTCATTAATTTCTCCTGCTCCAGCTGAAGTCAAGCACTAGTATCCAAGTGCTCCTGAACTACACTTCATTTTCTTTTCAATGGGATACTAAGAGTGACCTTAAAATATTCTTCAAGATAAGACACACATAAATAACATTCCCGTATTATAAATGTATACTATTTTAAAATGCAAGAGAGAGGAGTGCAGTGGCAAAAATGGTAGGTTTACTCAAATTCCTTCTGTTACAATCACTGTAATTAAACTGTGCAGAACAGTATATTCATGTTGTTAGGTTGCAATGGATGCAAAACAAGTATTGATCTACATTGTACAACTTAATTAAAATTTGTCCTGGAGATGCTACTAATGAATGTAATTAGATGCTGTGTTTGATGTCACAAGCTTCTTCATGACATGCTAATTAAGGGAAAAAGCAGAAAAAGCACTTTATTCGAATATCAGATCATAAAAAGAACATGATACAACTAAATATTGTATTATCTTTCTATCAACGACAATTTTTAAATTGCTGTTATTAACTTCAATTTCAAAATAATTTTCTGCATATGAAAAGATAATACAACCCATTCCACGCTAAGTCAAGTCAGTGGGAATTTTCCAACCAGTGAGTCAGCTAGCAGAGTTGAATACTAAATCCCCAGTTAGAAAAGACTCACTTCCTCTCTTATTTTAGAAGCATTCTGCGTAGGACAAAATACATAGGACAGAATACACCTTTGGACAGGCACCACACAGTAACCTAAAACTCTCGTGCCAGGAAGACAAGAGTGACAAGTGACTTTAAGCTGTCACTGTACCTGGGCTTCTCTGGATATCAGAGAGGCCCACCTCATCTCAGACAACTCTGGGAGGCTGCTAAGGCACAGCAGACACTGAATGCCACGTGAGCATTAGCCCAGGACTGCTTTCACAGTGTATCATCTAAAACACTGCACTGCATTGATCTGCTCTGATGAACATATTTAGCTAGTATGCTAAATTGCCTGCAAGGACAGAAATTTTTTGCTTTAAGGAGTCCCAAAATTCTAGTATAAACACATATTATCATTTTCTGCATCTGGATACAAGGTGTCTGCATCTCCCCCACCAGCATCCTACCCAGTCATTTCCAATGCATCTGACCTGTACTTGTATAATTTCCAATGTCATGACCCCACCCCGATGCTGCCTTGAGCCAGGCCAGGGCCCAGAATCCCCTCTCCAAGGGGGAGCTCCTTCAACAGCCCAGCTGCAAGAGTTCCCCGTTAAGATGCTCCTATCAACACCTTGGGAATGCTCCCTCAGGCAGCCTTCCCTTCCTGCACTGCCAGAGAGGTCACTAGCACAGTCCCACTACACAAGCCCATACAAGCTCAGCACCATCTCTCTTCTCATCACCTTCCAGCCTGGCTGGAACATTATTTTTTCTGAAATGGCTTTCATCAAAGCACTGCAGATTGGCCAGGTTGAGGAAGAAACAGTGGGCAAGCAGCAGGTAAAGAAGCCACCTGGAATAGACGAAAACATTTCGGCAGAGACTTTATGGAAGGACTGCCACCATTCCAAACAGTTGCTTTTAAACTCACCACGTGGCTGCTTGGGAAGAGGTGAAGTCTTTTTGCACCTGAATAAACCCCTCGGAAATTGTGTTTCATTTGACCCACAGCAAGACTCAGAAAGAGACCACAGGTCTTCTAAAGGCAGCAGAACTAGTTCCTCCCCATTCAACCTGTGATGACTGTTAGCATGTATTTGGTTGAGGCTGTCTAATAACCAAAAAATCCATACACCCAGGACATTGCAGGAGGTAATTCAGGAACACCTCCAACTATGTGCATAAGGATTCCATATTTCAAAAGGTCTAGTGCCAGCTCCTGTACAGCCTGGGACTCCTGGACTAGCCCCAACACTGCCTACTCCGCAGGCATAACCCAGAGCTGTACTCAGGAGCACCTGGGCTACATGAGAGCTTACCCTGCTGAATAAAAGATAATCTCTTCAGAAATCGCTAGCAACTCTGCTTAGCCCATGATCTTAAAAGCCTCCAAAATAACAGAACTCATTTATTCCCACTTCCTTTCTCCTCAACAGCAGCTAGCTATATATTAACAAACAAGCAAGAAACCTCAGACCCCATAAGCATACACTTAGCACCTGTATCTTTGCCAGCAAACTTAGAAGAGGCACATACACTCAAAAATATTTTTTGCTCATCTCCACCATCAGCGCATCCATCCCACAAGCCCTAATTATTTCTAATGCTCAGTCAAGGGGAACACAAAACCACACAGATCTATATCATCATTAACTTCCATGCCTTCAGGGCAGGATAAATGATGATTAAGTCTAAAGTCATACCACAGCCCTTCTTTTTTCTTTTTTTTCTTTTTTTAATACAGAATAATAGCCTGGGGAGTTTGCATACACTCTTGTTCTCAGACAGGTTGGTTACTGCAGGTGAGCAATCAAGATAGAATAAAACCTGAAGTGATCTAAACCTTTGCCCTGAACTCTAGCTGGTAAATTAACAGTGGCTTTTCACTCAGGAATCTTTGTCAGGGAGCCTGGATTTGGGTTTTTATTTAAATGTCTTTGTCATGTTCATACAGCCAGCATTTAGCAGCTTCACCATGGCTACACAGGGACTGAGGCTGGAAGGAAGCACATAAAATGCCAGAGCTGATGGCATTCAGCATTCACCTAAAGCAACATTGCTGCCCACACAGCAGAGCTCCCCATCTGACACAGCCACCTAAAACAGTGCCATGTGACAGCATTAGCTTGCCCAGGCAAAACCACAACAGGCCTGTCATGATGGTACAATGCCTGAAGTAGAAGCCACTGATTCATGGTGGATTTTTTTGATCATATCACTGAAGAGAGATGGCTCCTCTGCCTCTGGACTGGAGCAGAATCAGCTGGAGCATCTTTTTTCTTCACTCCGTTTTCAAATGGGAAAAAAAACAAGATAAAAAACAAAAATCCCCCACCAACAGGCTACAACACTGAGTATTTCTGATCCTACAAGCCACACATCCTCCTGCTATTTCAGTATCT